GAAGTGCGGCACCTGATGCCTCAAGTCCTTGAGTTTCTGCTACCCACTTGTGAGGCAGAGTTCCAGGCTTTTATTTCAGCCAGATTAAGCTGGACTGTTAAGCCCATTAGGAGAGTGAACAAGTAAATAAAAAATCTCCTTTTGTTTCTATTTCTCCCTTTCTCTCTAATTCTGTCATTCAAATAAGTTAGTTTTAAATTTAAAAAAACAAACAAAAAAAAAGGGCCTGGCTTTGTGGCCTGGTGCCTGAAGTCCTTGAACACAGCGGGTTCCCATATGGGCACTGGTTCTAATTCAGGTTGCCCAGCTTCCCATCTAGCTCCCTGCTTGTGGCCTGGGAAAGCAGTTGAGAACGGCCCAAAGCCTTGGGACCCTGTACCTGCGTGAGAGACCTGGAGGAAGTTCCTTGCTCCTGGTTTTGGACTGGCGCAGGACCAGCTATTGCGGTCACTTGGGGAGTGAATGATCAGATGCAAGATCTTCCTCTCAGTCTCTCCTCCTCTCTGTATATCTGACTTTGCCATAAAAATTAAATAAATCTTTAAAACAAAACAGAAAAATAAATAAAATCCAAACTATGTCTTTGAGGAAAGATCCACAGAACAAACAGGAACTAGCTAATAAAAAAAATAAATAAAGAAGCAAGGGTAATAATCATATCTGATGGGCAAGGGGAAAAATAATCACAAAAACAATTTTTTTGTGTAAATCAAGAAACCATTACTTATATACAGTTGAAAAAGCTAAATGAAATGGATGTGTTTCAGAGACGTACAAATCCCCAGAATGATTCCAGTGGAAACAGCCTAAAGAGAATTTGAAGATCCGGGGGAGGCAGCGACACCACACATGCTACTTTTATTATAAAGGAATCTGCGAATATTCAACCTGCCAGCTGAGCCAACAGCACCTCGTACTGAAGTGGCATTTTGAGTTCCTGCTGCTCTGCTTCTGATGCAGATTCCAGCCAATGCATCCTGGGATGCAGCAGATGACGGCTCAAACGGGCCCCGGCCACCCGTGAGGGGGACTTGGCTGCTGCTGCAAACTCACAGCAGAGGTCTGGCCCAGCCCCGGAGTGAATCAGTGGTAGAAAGGTAACTGCCCGCCTGTACGTATGTATGTGTGCATGTGTGTGTGCATGCAAACGTGCACACACACGTGTCTTCTGCCTTTCAATAAATGAAAACAAAGTTTTTAAGGCAGATGAAGTAAGTGCAGAGAGAAAAGATCTTCAGTCGATGGTTCACACCCCAAATAGCAGCAACAACAAAAGCTGAGTCTACCTGAAGCCAGGAGCTTTTTCCAGTCTCCCATGTGGAGAGGACTTGAGCCATCTTCTGCTGCTTTTCCACGCCATACAACAGGGAGCTGGACCACAAGTGGAGCAAAAGAGACCAGAGCTGGTGCCTATATGGATGCCAGGAGACCACCACTACACTGGTAGAGGATTATTCTGCTGAGCCACCACACCAGCCCAGAAAAAAAATTTTTTGAGAAAGCAGTTGAGTGCATAGAAATAGAAGAGGTAAAACAATCTATTTGCTGGGCCTGGCATGATGGCTCCATGGCTAAATCCTCACCTTGCATGCACCAGGATTACAAATAGGTGCCAGTTCTTGTCTTGGCTGCTCCACTTCCCATCCAGCTCCCTGCCTGTGGCCGGGAAAGCAGTAGAGGATGGCCCAAAGCCTTGGGACCCTGTACCTGCCTGGCATCCCATATAGGTGCCGGTTCTTGTCCCAGCTGCTCCACTTCTGATCTAGCTCCCTGCTAATGGCCTGCCTAGGAAAACAACTGAAAGAGGCCCAATTCCTTGGGCGTCCAAATCCACATGAGAGATTCAAAAACAGAGAGAGATTAAGTTCATCCTCCACTTCCAATTGAGCTTCTTGCAAATGCACGTGCAGTGACGCAGCAAACGCTGGCCTACTCCTGTGGGTTCCTGCCACGCACTTGGATGTCTGCACTGTTGCAGGCATCTGGGGAATGAAACAACAAATTCACGATTTCCTGGTATCTCCCCATCTCTGTGCCTTTCAAATTCCTTACTTGTTTTTTTTTTTTTTTTAAGTATGATGTCTACAACTTACTCTCAAACAGTTCTAACATAATAAGAGGAGTGGGCACTTAGTCCACAGTCCGCAGTACAACACCTGCTCCAATTCCTGGCTTTGGCTCCTGCAACACATTCCCTGCCAACGCCGCCCCTGCACAACAGTGATGACCAAGCAAGTCAGTAGGAGCTGCCGCCCACATGGGAAATACAAATTCATTGCCTGGCTCCTGGACCTGGTCCTGGTCTGGCCCACCCGAGATGAGGGTGCGCATTATGGCAGTGACCTGGCAGGTGGGGGTCCTCTCCCTCTCTCCTTCTCAAATAAATACAGCTTGTAAAAAAAAAAAAAAGTAGTAGAAATAGGTACACACATACAGAAAATGATGAAGCAGATGTCAAAAGTAGGTGAAAGTAGAAGACCGCATTGGCATTTTTTGTTCTCTTCCAGTTTCCAATGCATTTGAAAGTAATCCAGTATATATTTTAAGATGCAAAAATTTTCATGAATGTTAACAAATGTGAGGCTGGGCTTGTAGAAAACTGGAAATTATGCAGTCTAGTCAGTCCTGCAAATGGATGACACTTTATTTTTGGAACTATCAGGTCCACTTTTCTGTATCTTACTGGCCTCCCTGGAACATTTGTTGCTTTCTTTCAATTGGTCTATCAGAGGCTTAAGGCTACAGGATGGAAAGACGGCTGAACGGCTGAATGCACTGTTGTTCAGTACACTGTTATCACTATTTAAAACATCCTTGAGGACAAAACATTCTAGCAAACGCTGCGTAGAGCACTACCTATCAAATATTAGTGCCTATGAGCCATAGTTCAGTATCAACTTTTCATTTAGAATTCAGTCCCGAAAACCCTTTTCAACTGAGAAACAGGTATTTGTTTTCCACTCTGCTGACAGGAGCTATACAACAGTTTAAATCAGGACCCACTATAGCAACTGCTAGTCAACAGCTTGGGTTGGTTTTCCAGGTCCATTCTTTCCCCTGGTCTTGGTTATTTTTATCTACCATTGCATTGCTTTTTGTCCTATTTAGACCTATAAGTCAATCCAAGACCCAATTTAGCTCTCTGAGAAATACAAGAACTACCAACAGATTAAAGGAGGTAATGTCAAGCTCTTCCAGGCTGCTCTTGGCCACCCAACAGACACAGGCTATTCATGCATGACAATTACAGCAGTTTCCATGACAAAATTATGCCCACTCGGAAGACTCGTTGCCACAGGTTTACAAGTCTCACAACAGCTTGAAGCCTGGGTCACGATACAATCATCTCCTCGAGCTGAATTTCCCAGTGAGCACTCAACATCAATTACTTAGCTCACAAGATCTAGACTGCACACTCCACAGACATTTATAGCCTGCATGAGTAAGGCCCCAGCTTACTAATATGCAGGATATGACAAACATTGTGCTGCTACTACCAAGAAATGCTTCATGTTTCAATCGTTTTGCAAGACCAAAAAATATATATACAAAAGAAAAAAAAAAAAAAAGAAAGAAAACAAGCCTCCTCCTGCATAAATGGGAAGTTGAAAATACTTTTACTTGTTGCCTTCACTTGTGACACAACCAGATCCACCGGGGCACAGGCTGAACAATGAGATCGCGGCCAAGCAGAGTACATGCTGCAACATAATCCTGGTTGTTGGCTTGGTGTTTGCACTACTACGGCACTTTTCTAAAATCAAACGCCAGAAAACTAGTGCCACAATAGTTCCAACAGATACGCTGTCAGAAGCCAAGTGGCCATTCTTCCCCACCCTCAACTGCCTCACACTGGGGGGGCTTGAGCAGCCAAAGCAAAAAAAAAAAAAAAAAAAAAAACGCTTTCCGGAGGAGGAGATGGGCTGTAGCAAATTCAAGAGGACACCCCCACAAGGTTGTCAGGGCAACCAAACCAAGAGCATTTCTCTACAGAAAAGGACGGGGGAGACCATGCCAGCAAACACTGCATAGTAAAAAGATTAAAATCTCTTCTCATGGGAAAAAAAAAAACCTTCAAGAGGTGAAATGTACATTCAGGCTATTAACTACCACATTCCTAACTCAAGTGAACAAGCTCCAAGCATTCCCCAAGTGTCTGTTAGCTGGATTCGGTAAGCACCTTGCTAAAAACCAGCTACTTAAAACGTAATTCCTAAAGTCAGTTTTCAGTCTGTTGACATCCAAAGAAGCGATCACAGCCAAAAAAAAAAAAAAAGAAGAAGAAGAAAGAAAGAAAGAAATGAAAAGATAGAAAGAAATAAAGAAAAAGAAAACCCACACTACCCACAGGTTTCCCAAATTTACACTGTTTTTCAAAATGGAGTCACTTTAAACATCATATTTAAACAGGCAAACTAAATAAAGCCAGACCGGAGCCTGAGTGTGCCATTCACACCGGAGAAGAACAAGAGTGGGCAGTCATGAGGGTGTCAAGTTGGTAGATCCATGTAATTATCCCCTCACCCCCCAAGTCGATGGCAAAATGCATCAGTCAGGAGAAACGACGTGCACGTGAGGGCACAGGACCCAGGCAGGGCAGGGGCAGCGCTAGCCAGCAGGTGAGAGGTGCCCTCCCAGGAAGGTGAGGCTGGCGGGGGGTCCCCCGTTTTACTGACGGGGGGACACCCCTCGCAGAGGGTCCGCCTTCAGCCCGGCCCCGTGAGAAGGGCAAAAGGCCAGGAGTAGCGGGCGCGCACACTGGGGCACCGTGGCCCTCCTCCTCAGTCATCGCCCTTCCCCAAAGGAGGCTTGACAACAACACCAAGGCTCAGCCTGGTGCCACTGTCACCCTACCCCACCCGACCCACCCCCACCTGCCCAGTCAGGGGGTCCCCGAGTCCCCCAGGGCGATGATCGCTACACCTCCAGGAGAGGGGCAGGATGCTGGGGGCCGGAGCGGGTCCGCGGAGACGCGGCGGTGGCCGCCGAGCGGCTCTTACCCGGTGCCACAGTCCACCACGCAGGGAGGCAGCGAGCCCGCCATGCTCGGGACGCGCGGCGCTCGGGCGCGTCCGCTCAGCCACCCGCACACCTGCGTGCGGCTTCTCCAAGCGAACCTCCGCAGCGCCGCCGCCGGGGGCCCGGATGCTCCGCGGCCGCCACGTGACGTTATCTCGAGCTGGCCAATCAGAACGCGTGCGTCCCTCCGCCCCCCCCCTCGCCATCTTTGATGCTGGCAGCTAGGCTTTTCAGCCCACACGTTCAACCTTCAAGCGGGGGAGGCTGAGGGGTATTTTTAACTGACCTGTGGTGAACGTGACCCTATTCCGAAGCGCAACTGCTTTCTCATCCGTTAAGTCTCGGTTTAATGGTCACCTTCTCGGGGTAGTTGTCCCTGACAACCCAAATTAGATCCCTCCTCACACTTTATGATCTCATTCCCGACACTAGGTGCAAATTGTTTTTATTTATTTGTAGTCTACCTTTCCAACTGGATAGTAGGTCTTAGGGCTCCAGGCTGTCATTATTGTTGACTGGAAGCCTAACACAGTATTGAGTGCAAACGTGGAAAACACCCAAAATGAATGAATGAATGAGTGAATGAATGAATGGCTTTCATCGTATAAACAAAAGAATGCTTTCAGAATAATCTTATCTAGCTGAGCATTTAGTCTTAAGAAAAGTATATAGAAAGTAAGTGCATGGTTAGCCTTAAGGAATAATGACCTTAGGTTGGCAGCATGCCAGTGCGATCACTGAAAAATGCTTTTAAATATCAAAGACAACATGATTATCCACAAATTCTTACAAATATCGGAGAAGACGTGCACCTGCCCACCATGATATAAAGCTGCCAAAAGTCCCCTTTGCTGCCTGCTTCTTAAATCTTTATCATTCATTTTTAGGGAGCTTTCTAAAAAAAAAAAATCGTGATTCTTTTTTTTTTTTTTAATCTAGGAAAATAATAGATTAGTTGACACTCCTAGGTTACCCGTTATCACTTACTTTTCTTACCTATTTGAATTAAACAAGACCCACACAGAAAATGGTTAGGGGTAAGGGTTGGTGTTACAGAATAGCAAGTTAAGTCACTGCCTGCAACATATGGGCACTAATCCCATATGTTCAAGTCCTGGCTACTTCCCTTCTAAAGCAGCTCCGTACTAATGTAGCTGGGAAAGTGGCAGAGGATGGCCAAGTCTCAGGCCATTACATCGGGAAACAAGAAAGAAACTCCTAGTTCCTCGCTTCAGCCAAGCCCAGCCCAAGCTGTGTGACCATCTGGAGAGTGAACCAGCAGCTGGAAGATCTCTGTCTCTCTCCTGCCTCCCTCTCCCTGTAATTTTAACTTTCAAATAAACAAAATAAATAGTAAATCTTATACAGAAAATGTTCATGGGCAGGGAAGGTGGCAGAAGTTGGGAGGAAAATTAAAGCCCAAGAATAGAAGAATCAGGTACAGGAGCCAAAGAGCTGGAATGAATATTGACTTAACTACTTTGTATTTTATCAAGGCCCTGCCCAGCTCTCGTGTTTTTTTTTTTTTTTTCGCAGAGCTCAGCAAAATATTGTACATAAGTTCAAGGTTGCAGACTTCTGGCACTGCTGTGTCTTATTTTTTACATATTTAATGCACATCTATCAAGTGCTGCTATGAGTCAGGCTTTGTATTAGAGCATGCAGCCCTCAGCAGGATGCTCACAGCACCTGCTCCCAAGAGGCTAGCAAGACAGTGGCAGTAAACAGACCACTGCAAGGCAGCGTGGTGAATGCTGAAAGGGACAGTTCTATAAAGGGGCTCTTAACTCTGACTTGGAGGAGCCATGGAGGCTTTCCAAAGCAACCTCAGATCCAGAGGGTGGATAGAAGCAGCTAGATACTAGAAGAATGTGGGTTAAAAAAAAAAAAAAGTGTTTCTGGGACAGGGAATATACACCATGCTTCAAGTGTCATGTAAAACCCAGTCTGTTTAGCCTCTGTAGGAATGTTGGACTGACTAGTTATTAAAAAAAAAAAAAAAAAAAACCTTTCAGGGAGTGTCACCTCTGTCTAGGACTTGCCGGGAATGGTTGCCGTAGGCACAGCTGGTGGTAGATACCAGATTCCCTGGGGGCTGGGCATCTGGCTTTGTGGTTAAGGAGCCCTTGTCCCTCAGCAGAGTATGAGGGTATGATCCCTGGTGTAGACCTTGAGAGGCAGCTCTGCTGGCCACTGTGCTGAGCTCTGACTCCCAGACAGGAGTCCTAAATTGAGTTGCCAGTTCCTGGCCCCAGCTTCCGCAGGAGACTAGTGCCAGATGTTGCAGTTATTTGGGAAGTAAAGCTGCAGCTGGAAGCACATGCACTCACTTTCTCCCATCTCAAATAAATCAGTAAGTTTGTGTTTAAAAAAAACTCTGGTTTTAGTGAATTTCCTCTAGACAGCACTAACCCTTGAGGTATCAAAGGTTTTTAGATGCAGGTAACAGAAAATCTAACTACAAGTGGCACAATGAACAAATTGTTATATCTCATACAATAGGCAATCTAGTAATTCCAGCATAATTCAACAACTGAATTACAACATCACAGACCTATACATTCAGTTCTGCCAGGATCCGTGCCCTTAAAAAAAAAAAACAACAACAAAAAAAAAACTTTTATTTATCTGGGAATAAATAAAAGGGAAATCTTCTATGCACTGGTTCACTCCCCACCTGGAACTCCAAAGTCTAATCACTTGGGGTGTCTTCTCTGCTTTTCCAGGTCATGTAGCAGGGAGTTGGATCAGAAGTGAAGCAGCCAAGACACAAACCAGGACCCAAATGGGATACCAATATAGCAGTAATGCAGCCATTTGCACCACAGTGCTGGACCCAAGGCTCTGTGTCTCAGCTTTGTCCTCAGGCTTATGTCCCTTTGGTTATGGGACAAATGCACTACAACCATAGTGGATGAACACAGGCAGGTTGAATCTCCCATCTGATCGCCTTTTTCTGGGGCAATTCACTCCCAGAAGTCCTCAACTGCTTTGCTTCTTGTTCAAAAAATCAGCCCTGCTTCCCTAGAGTAACCATAGCAAAGCTCCACAAGCCTGGTGACTTTGGCAAGTAGATAGGCTGCCAAAGTTCTAGATGCCAGAGGACCTGATTAAAGCTGTCACAGCATAGATGTGGTGTCTCTCTCAACACACTGAGGAAGAATTGATTCCATGCTCTCCCTTAACTTCTGGTGTTACCAGCAATGCTTGGCTTGTGCATGTATCATTCCAATCTCTGCCTGAATCTTCACATAGCCTTCCCGTTGTCTTATAAGGACACAAATCATGTTGGGTGAGGGTCCACTCCAATGGCCCTTTTTATTTTGATTATGCATATAAATAAGATGTGTCCGAATATCACATTCATAAATACCAAAAGTTAGGACTTCAACGTGTCTTTTTAGGGGACATAAGTCAACCCTGATACCATCCTAGGCCAAAAGCAGTTATCCATAAGGGAAACTGAGGCACTATGCTAGATTATGGTAAGCAATATCACTGTCTTGGCAAGAAGCCTTGTATCTCCTGAAGCAAATGACTGCCAATACCTGACTTGAATTGGACTTGGTCAGCAAGAAGAGCCACTGCATACGAAACACAGTGTTTAAGACACAATGTGCAGAGAAGAGGAGATGGCTCTCTGTAAGCCAAGAAGACAGCCTTAGCAGAACCCTGCCACAGTGGTACCCAGATCTCACAATTCCCTTCCCAAGAACTAAGAGAAAAGACATTTCTGTTTGTCTAAGCGCTGCAGCCTACAGTTTTGTATGACAGCAGCTTGAACAAACTAGGATAGTCCCTAACATACTACTGTTTATCCTTCTGGACTGTAAACTTCTATCAGAGACTGAGTTCATCTGCTTTGACAGTGCCTGGGGCAACAACACCCATAGAGATACAAACCTCACATTCTATAAGAAGCATTTCAAGTGCAATCTTTATTATGTGGTTAAGGTTTGCTCCCACCTATACTTTGCAAAATTTCTGCTACCAAATGCACATCAACCTACAATTCCTTTCCCTTGCAATAGTTGAACCTTGTTGCCCTGCATTCAACTTGTAATGAGAGAAGTGTGTTAACTGGCTTTCACCAGCAGGAAGACGTGTCCCTTTATTGCACCTTTACTGAACAATGGCCTCCTATGACACACACTTTGAACAGGCCCAAACAGTGAAAACTTAACACATCCTGTAAGTTGCTACTGAAACATTGGCATCCCATATGAGCACTGATTCAAGTCCTAGCTGCTTCACTTCCAGTTCAGCTTTCTGCTAATGCACCTGGGAAAGCAGCAGAAGATGGCCCAAGTGCTGGAATCCCCCCATCCACTTGGGAAACCTGGATGAAGCTCCTCACTGCTGATTTCGTCCTGGCCCAGCCCTCGCTGTTGCAGATGTTTGAGGAGTGAAGCAACAGAAGAAGTATCTCTCGCTCTGTGTAATTTGTAACTCTGCCTTTTAAACAAATAAATCATCCAAAAAAAAAAAATCCAACATCAACCTTCATGGTGGACAGTGTTACTATTTAATAATTACCTGGGCACCACCTCACCCCAACTCTACTTTCAAACGAAATTTTAATAAGCACCTTTCAATGCTGGTGGTAATGAATGCTTAGGCAAATTAAGGAATCTTAAGAACAACAACCAAAAAAAAAAAAATCAGAGTTTAGAGATTGCCTACCCAATTAGGATTGGTCCTTGAGTACTTGGACAATGTGGTTGTAATTTCTTACACTTAACTATTTATGCCAGGCCAAGAAGAAGAAGAAAAACTAACAGCTCTCTTCAAAAACTGCCCACCCAGCTGCTCTGAGAATCTCAAAGCTGTAAGCAGGAGCAGTCTGTGTGTTCCGTGTTGCTAGGAGGATGCAAATGTTGAAAGGAGCACCAAAAAATTAGAACCCAGTCCTTTGAAAGTAGCTGGCATTCTCCTTCAAAAGGAAGGACCTGTCACTCCACTCAATGGGTTTCCTTGATGTCTTGGCAACAGTAGAAGAAAATGGTCTATGCAAGTTGATTGGCTAAGAATTGAGTGTGTTAGTGAATTGTTAACCCAAAATCAGAAGACTTAAGGAAAGCACCTCAAGCTCTGAA